AGTTGTTGAACGAGTGCTTGCTTGCTAATGCCATCAATATATCAATACTCCTTCTTGTTGTTATTATTATTGTTATTAATGTTGTTGTTGTTGTTGTTGTTGTTGTTGTTTCATCTATATCCGTCGCTAATCGAAAAATCTGAAATTGCAAGGGTGGGTGTTACACGATGGTGATGGTGATGATGATGATGATGGTGATAATGATATCTGATCATCATCATCATTATCATCAGCATCAGCATCAGCGTCATCAGCATCATTTGAATATTGTCGTAATTTTGTTTGCCAAGCCATCCATCCCTCCATCCCTCCATCCATCCATCTCTCCGTCCCTCCATCCCTCCCTCCATCCATCCATCCATCCATTCATCCATCCATCCATCCATCCATCCCCCGACTACATGGCTTTTATCCTTAATTAACCGAATCGATTACAATTATTATCTTCGCCTCATTCTTCCTCTCATCGTCATCATCATCATCATCACCATCATTACTATCATCATCGCCATCATCATTACTATCAACATCGTCATTATCATCATCATGGTCATCATCATCGTCATAATTATTATCATAATTTGTTTTGTTTGTGATAAATTTGAGATCTATAGAAATATTTTGCGGTAAGTTTTTACATTTTGCCACCCAGCCAGGCTCAGTTTTTAATCTATGCAGTGAGCGGCGATATTAAGCAGGAACTGATGATTGGTAGCCGATGTAGTCGCGTGCCTGTCGGATAATTTATTATCTATGGGGCGATATGCATTTTTGCCCCGTGTCTATGTTTGCTTGGTTGTTAGGTTGCTTGTTGTATGTTTGTTTCTTCTGCATGCTTGTGTAGTGATAGTAATGTTATAAAATAAAATTTCAATTTAGTAGTAACTGTATTATTAGTAACAGTAATAGTAGTAGTAGTAGTAGTAGTAGTAGTAATAGTAGTAGTAGTGGTAGCAGCAGTAGTATGAATAATAGTAGTTGGAGAAGTAGTAATATTCCTGCATTACAAAGAGGAATATAGTAATTACATTGAGAAGAATGAAGCAAAGATATAAACAACAAAAATGCCATTAAAAATTTAATTACTATTCCCCTAACAATAGCTCAAACGCAAATTATGGGCATGAGAGGTAAGTTTTGTGTGTGTGCGTGTGTGTGTGTCACGTGTATGTGTGTGTGTGTGTCACGTGTATGTGTGTGTGTTTGTGTGTTGAAGTATTATGTAGTTTTGTTGTTAGATATCTAACTAAGGTTTAGTATTTTTGGACTTTTTTCCATGTTTCTTTCGTGTATTTGAGGAGTGTTAGTCAGTTGTTGTTCCGTGCACTTGTCTATGTTCATCTCTGCATGTTGCTCCTTAATTTCTGAATAATTTATTTGTTGTGAATTAGTTATGTTTTGTTGAAAATAATACTTTTTTTTAGACAGAAAACATCATTTTATATTTAGTTTGAAAGCCTTACTTTCAGTATATTTTTACGGGTTTTTTCACAAAATTTTCAATGATCGAATGCCACAATGCAGAAAAAGTTGACTTAAGGCTAATCTAAACGAAAAAAGAATGATAATATGAGACTAACAACATCAACACACTACACACATACACATACATAATAAACACACACACACACATACATAATAAACACACACACACACACGCACACACATACGCACACAATCATTACACACACACTACATATTAACAATCAAATATTAAACCGACCAACGTAATACAAATTTGAGCAAACATACAGGAACAAACATAAGTACATTCTCTTCCACAAACACAAAAAAATAAAAAAAAATTTTTGAAAAATTCAACTAAAAAGTTCCCTCCGTGCCAAACACGACTTTAGAGCAAAAATAAGTAACCGGAAGTGCTACTTAATATATCAAACCGTGATGACGCCACAAAAAAGACATAGATAAAACAGCACTTTGGGAAATATGCCATAGATATTTCATTTCAATGTTTACAAAATTTGAAAAATTATTTGAAGAAAATATATATATATATATATATATATATATATATATATATATATGCGTGCATGTGTGTTTTGTTTGTGTGAGCGTGTGTGTGCGTGTGCTTGCACGCTTATAAAATAGATGAATGACTTTTTAAACGTTCCATGAATAATTAAGCCTATATAGCATAGATATAATGACGTGGTAAACATAGATAAATATGGATGATGAATTCAACAGTCATCTGCGTGAGCGATAATGCATTTTTGAATTATTTATTCTATGATGATGGGGGTGATAACGACGACGATATTGGAATTCATAAAATGATGATGACCATGATGATGATGACCATAATGATGATGACGATGAAGACGATGACGAGGATGATGATGATGATGATGATAATGATGACGACGACGATGATAATGATCGAAATATTGTTAAATTGTTTATAGTGTTTCCCGCGCTCTCAATGTGGTCATCGAAACACATTTGTTGAATGATTGATTAATGGTAAAGTCATAAATATTACTACTACTACTACTACTACTACTACTACTACTACTACTACTACTACTACTACTACTACTACTACTACTACTACACTAATACTGCTGTTGATGTTACTACTACTGCTACAAATGCTACCACTACCACTACTTTTAATAATAATAATAATAACAAAATAAAAAAAAATGAAACAATGATAATAGTTGCCAAGATACGAAAGGTCAAATAAAACATCTATATTGACTTATGTTGACAAATAAATATAAATATGGATGTAGGTGCGTATGCGTGTGTGTGTGTGTGTGTGTGTGTGTGTGTGTGTGTGTGTTTGTTTGTGTGTGTGTGACCCCATAACTTAATTAATCAAAGAGCTAGGAAGTTTTATAATGTAATGCATAGTTTTAGGGCGGTGATATGAAATATTAATTTAAATTATACGCGTTATTTTGTGTGTGTTGTTTGTTTGCAAGTGTTGTTTGTTTGTATGTTTTTTGTGTGTCTGTTTATCTATATGTTTGTATGCTTATTTGCGTGCTTGTCTGACTGTATGTATGTATGTATGAATGTTCATGTTTGTGTGTTTCTTTCTCCCTTCTCTGTATCAATCTTAATGTTCTTTTTATGTTTGTAGTGATCATAGTTCTAGCAGCAGCAGTAGAAGCATTAGAAATATAGTTGTATAAGAAATTGTAGTACAATTAATAAGGGCTACTACTACTATTACTACTATGTAGTAGTAGTGGTAGTAGTAGTAGTAGTGGTAGTAGTAGTAGTAGTAGTAGTAGTAGTAGTAGTAGTAGTAGTGGTAGTAGTAGTAGTAGTTAGTTATTGCTGAAAACTTTCGTGTTTCTCATTTTACAATTTAAAGAAAAAAAATTCTTCGTTTTGCCTTACATCATCGTCATTACCGTCACCTAAACCATATGGAGTTTTTTTGGTGACATGGAGTTTTTTTGGTGATGTGACATCACGATGATGATGATGATAATGATGATGACGATGACGTCATGATGATATTGGAATAACTGTAATGATGATTAAAACATCGTCATCATCACCTTCATCACATCATCGTCGTCGTCATCACCAAAGTTAATCGAATCAAAATTCAATTTTTCAAGAAAAGTTCGTGTGGTGTGGGTGAATTTTCATAATAATAATAATTATAATTAGAGTTACCAAAGTTATTATTATTATTATCGTTATTATTATTTTTAAAATTACTTTGGCGACGCGCCCATGACAATGGCGTCATTGAAAGAAAAAAAATCTTTTCAAAATAAATAACACAGGAAAGGATGATGATGATGACGATTTGCAAAATTTATTCCTTAAAATCATTAAATAAAAAAATTAAATCCCCGCATAAATGATTGAGATAGAGAGATGAAAACAGAGGAAGAGAGAAAGAGAGAAAGAAAGAGGGAGAGAGAGAGATGTTGGTTAGATACAAAACTCATTTTCTAACTATCAATAACTCCCAGACAAAATTAAAGCATGACGTTGCTGAGAAAAAAATTAATTTATTTAAAAACGCTTCATTTTTGTTTTGTCTCTACATTGAATTTATTGTTCTATGCTTTGTTCTATTTTGATTATTTACATTTTATAGTTTTGTCATTTTGTTAAAGTTTATTTTTTATCAATTTTTAAAAATTTAATCTAAGAGAGTCATTCAAGTTGGAAAAATTTGTAAATATAGATAACTAGATTTATATATTTAGGCTATTTTGTTTTTTGGTTTCCTACGTTGTATTCTGTTGAAAATTTATACTGATTTTGTGGTGATGCTAATGTTTATTGAATGGTGACTGTGACAACAATAACCATGGTGCAACTTCAAACTTCAACTCAGTCACAAATTCCAAAAAAAACCCAAAACCATTTCACCAAAACCATTCACCAAAACTATTTCACCAAACATTTAACATCCATTTTTCACAAACCCATTTTTTGCTACTTCTACAAAATCCACCACCACAGTCGCTATCCGTGGAAAAACCTACCCGATTTCGACTGCTACCGCTTGCAGTGTAAGACGGATCGCGATTGCTGTAGGGGTTACAGTGTTTGTGACAAGTCCTCTAAAACTTGCTCGGATTGTTGGTTCCGTATGGGATGTCGGAGTGTAGAGGATTGCTGCGAGAAGTATCCCTACTGCAAGAAAGTTAAGGATGACGACACTTTTGGTGGTTGCGCTGATGAAATGTGATGACGCTCTGGTGGTATGGTGATTATTTGGTGGTGATTTGATGATGATGATGTGTGTGTATGTGTGTGTGTACGTGATGACGATATGGTGGTATGGTGATTATCTGGTGGTGATTTGATGATGATGATGTGTGTGTATGTCTGTGTGTACGTGATAACGCTATGGTGGTATGGTGATTATCTGGTGATGATTTGGTGATGATGATGTGGTGGTGTGGTGACTATCTGGTGATGTTTTGGTGATGATGAAGTGTGTATGTGTGTGTGTGTGCGTGATGATGTTTTGATGGTGTAGTCATTATCTGGTGATGATTTGGTGTTGATGATGTGTGTATGTGTGTGTGTGATCTGGTAATAATGATGATGATGGTGGTGAGTAAGATGATAATGCTTCGTTGATACTGACAACAATAAAATTAATCGTAAAATGATAATAACATATTTATAATATTAATGAAAATGATGATGATCTTGTGTTATAACTAACTGTTAATAATTGCGTTAAGAAAGGCATACTTGAATTGCACAATTATTAAACTGCTCTGCTGACAGTGGTGACAATGAAAAAAAAGATAATAATAATAATAATAATAATTATAAATGATGGTGACGATGATAACGCTGATAATGATGACGGTAAAGGTGACGATAATGATGACGATGACGATGATGATGATGATGATGATAATGATGACAGTATAGATTATGATGATGATGATGATGATGATAGTGATGACGATGATGATGACGACGATGATAACGACGATGACGACCGTGACACGGCAATAACAACAAATCAATCCCTTAGTCATAAAACAAACAATGGCGCCAAAAACTGCCACTAAGAATAGAAACCAAAAAAAAAAAACAAAAAGAAAAACTAAAAATACACTTGAGAGAAAGTAAAAACGTGTTCAACTAATCACCACACGTAGCTAGCGCGCCTACGCTGAACATTTTGTTGTTTTGAAGACTCAAGCTCCCACTAACAAGCAAGTTATTCATTTTATTACCGCAGCTTTAAGTATCTCACTTTACTTCATTTTTAGTACTGCGAAAACTACTGCTGCTGTCAACACTACTGTAGCTACCACGACAGCTACTTCTCTTGCTGCTGCTACTGCTACTACCACAACTACAAATTTTCTTTTTTTTTTACAATTATCGACTATTACAAATATTATAAGTATTTCATAACCGATTATTTAGTAGTTGTAACACGACTACTACTACTACTTCGATTACTACTACTGCTACTGCTGCTACTACAGCTGTAGTAGTAGAAGCAGCTGTAGTAGTAGAAGCAGCAGCAGTACCACAAATAACTAGACGGTGTCATGTAGTCTATAGGAAAAATAAGAAGCATGCTTAGACGCGCCTGGAATCATGATAACGTTTTGTATGTTTTTGTGTATATATGCATGTATTCGTGGTTGTGTGTTTGTTTGTGTGTGTGTGTTTGTTTGTGTATGTGTGGGTGTTTGTATGTGTATGTGTGGGTGTGTGTGTACTATTCGTTTTGCTTGGGTTTTTGTGTATATTTATGTTTGAAATTAAATTTTGCTTGGTCAGTATGTCTGTGTATTTACATGAGTATGTGTGTTTGTTTATTCGGTGCGTGTGTGTGTGCGTTTATGTGTGTGTGTGTGTGTGCGTGTGTGTGTGTGTGTGCGCGTGAGTCTGGGTGTAATGAATAGCAAGGGAATAAGGATTTGGTATTATTGGATTACCATTCAGGTGCTGATGGTGATGTTACTGGTGATGATGATGATGTAGTTTTGATGGTGATGTTACTAGTGATGATGATGATGTAGTTTTGATGATGATGATGATGATGATGTTATTGATGATGATGATGATGTCAATGATGATGATGATGATGTTATTGATGATGATGATGACGGAGAAGATAACGATACAAGATGCTATTATAAAGTGGAACATGATACTGATAACAATTTTTTTATTGTGAAGATGGTCCTAGTAAAACAACTTATCAACGATATGAATATTATCCTTATTCTATTATATACGTAATTTATTTTAAATAAATTAATAACATTATTATTATTATTATTATCGTTATTATTATTGTTGTTGTTATTGTTATAATTGATGTTGTTATTGTTGTTACCAACAAATTTAAGACGCTAAATCGACAGAATTTCATCTTATATACACATTTATAACTTTCGAATCCTGAATTTGTGGTTGTAATCATTATCAACATCATCATAAATAATAATAATAATAATAATAATAATAATAATAATAATAATAATAATAATAATAATAATAATGGGAACATCTTTTATTTTTCACCATAAAAAACATACAATGATAAATATATATATATATAAGTCAATGTTAATTAAATAATGCGCAATGATAAAAAATTTTTAAAAATTGTATAAAATAATATAAAAGGTTAAGACCATTTTGCTCATTGTGAAGTTAAGTGCAGAACGGTGAAATATATTTAATTAGCATCATAGCTTGTTCCTGTCACAGTAAATGTCATACGATAATCTTATAACAGTGTTTATCAATTTATCATAATAATAATAATAATAATAATAATAATAATAATAATAATAATAATAATAACATTAATAATGATAATAATCGTTATCATAATTTCAGTAATTTTATCCTCTACATCGTTGCATTTTTGTCACTATCATTCGTTCGTTCATTCAATCGTTTATTAATTCAGTAATTCATTTATTCGTTCGTTCGTTCGTCCATTCATTCAGTCATTCATTCATTCATTCATTGACGTGAATTTTTAAATATTTGTAAATTTTCATTAAGAGTCTTTATATTCTGAAATGACATGAATATATATTACATATATTGTATGATAATATATCTTTTTGCATTGTAAACAAATGATTTTCGCGTTTTTTCAGTAATATTAAGAATCTTTTTTAAATGGCAATCTTAAAATTTTTCTTACGTGTCTGTGTGTGCGTGTGTGTGTGTGTGTCTGTCTCTGTGTGTGTGTCTGTGTGTGTGTTTTTGTTTGTGTGTGTGTCTGTCTGTGTGTGTTTCTGTCTCTGTGTGTTTCTGTCTGTGTGTGTGTTTGTGTCTCTGTATGTGTGCGTGTGTGTGTCTCCCCCAATATTTCAAATCTTATTGAGTGAGTAGACGAAGAATATGATGATGGAGAAGAAGATGAGGAAGAAAAAGAAGAAGATGAGGAAGAAGAAGATGATGATGGTGATGATGATGGTGATGATGACAAAGATGGTGTTGATGTTAGTGAGGGTGTTGTTGATGATGGTGACGTCAGTGGTGATGATTACAATGAGTGAGATTGTGGTGGTAATGGTTACTTTAAAAACGACCAAAAAAATTTTACGGCATGTACGAAAATTATTTCATAAAATATTGAAAACGGTCGCATTAAACACAGCAAAAAATTTTATTTCTTGGGTAACGTGATGAGAGTAAATGAAAGAGGAAAAAAAGAGAGCGAGAGAGAGAGAGAAAGAGAGAGATAAAAAAGATAGAGAGAAAGAGAGAGAGTAAGAGAAATACTAAGTAGTGTTATTGAATAATGAATGACCCAGCAGCCTGTCTGTATTTTTTCTCCCCTCACTTTTCTCATCATCCTCTCACCACTTGCCGCCTCTCTCAAAATGTCTGTACCTCTCACTGGTTAAAATCATTGTGCTGTTTTCTATTCCTCTTCTCTTTCTCTCTCTCTCGCTTTCTCTCTCTCTCTCTCTCTCTCTCTTTCTCTCTCTCTCTCTCTCTTCGTTCTACTTTTTCTGATTTCTTCTCTTCTTTTAAACATCGCTTTTTTACCTTGGTTTCTCTTTCTCTCTCTCTCTTTTTCTCTTTTCTTCTCTCTCTCTCTCCTCTTTCTCCAAGAACGTTTCCTTGCCAACGAATCATTGTTTCCTTCATCATCATCATCCTCATCATCATCCTCACATCATTTTACCATTTCAAAATTTTTTTAATACGCTCTGTAATATTGTAAGGTTATTAGAAGTTCATCACACATAACCAATTAGACTGAAATTTTTACATTTGGCTACATTTAAAATACTTCTTGTTCTTAACGTATAGTGTTAATACTCGAAGGAAAGCTTACAGCAAAGATACCTTAGTACTGTAATAACCCACTGCTCTCGTGGAGATATCCTGATACATCAAACATGAGATAATAAAAATAAGAAATCTGTCGTTGTATAGCAAAGATTTCGAAGTATTGTAAAGAATTACGTTGTGAATACTACAAATTTACTGTATTAATAAAGCCAGCGATAGGTAAAAAATACTACCCAATATTCAATTCAATAACTAATTCCTATAAGAAAATGACAACTGCGCAAGTCGAGCTGGAGCTACTAGTCGGTGGCGAGAGAAGTTGCAGACATTGCGGTCGGCTTGCCTTTGCAAGTTTTCCAACTTTGGAAGAACAGATCCAGATGTTTCCGGAGGATATATTTTGCTGTAACGACTACGTCAATGAGCTGATTGTGTACATCTGCCAGCTGCCTAGCTACTATCATCCCAGCAGGTTTGAGATTGTGCGGTTAATTTTACCTTTATAAATAAATTAACGTTTATGCATAGAGACTGAGAGCGTATAGATGAACCCGCACGCACCCACACTACGTATGATACATCTATAGAGGAACTAAAACGACAGATAGAATGAAAATGAAGAGAGAGAAAGAGAGAGAGAGAGAGAGAGAGAGAGAGAAATTGAAAGAGAAAGCAAGAAGAAAAAAAATACTACAACAAGAGGGAGATAAGAGAGAGAGTAAGAGAGAGAGAGGAAGAGAAAAGAGGAAGAGAAAGAGAGAGAAGAGAAAAAGAGAGAGAGACACAAAGAAAGAGAAACACGCATAAACTTACACACACACACACACACACACAGACACACACACACACACACACACACACAGGCAAAGCTTCAAGGATGCACATATAACTGTCATGAAATTGAATTCCCTTTTTCCATTCATAGTTCTACTGAGGCTG